TAATAGGACATTTCAAAAGATCAATTTTAATAAAAAAATTTACGAAAAAGCAGATACATGGAAGAAAAATGGAAATGACCGGAATGGCTATACATAAAAAGTGTAAGATTAATTAAAAATTATTCGAACTCAATAGCTGTAACAAAACTTACGATATCGACTCGGCAGTCAGCATCAGAGTTGGTGGTAAATTAAAAGTCAATACTTTATAAAAAGTAAAAACGATAGAAGCTGAGAAGCTGGATGCAACAACGGCTAGTATCATAGTTTGATAACGTTGTGCCAAATAAAGCATCGGTAAAAGAAGCAAGAAAAACTGCCCTTCCAGCGAATATAGATATCCTCCATCCAGGCACTACAACTGACAGCATATAGCATTCGGAACAAATCTCATTATTTATTTTTATTTAAGATATTTAATATTATGCATGTTAATTTTCTGTGCAGAAGAGACAGCAAAATTGTGCAAGAAAAATACGAGGTATTTTACAGAGGAAGGCAAAATATAGTTAAAAAAGCACCGACACGGGAGATATTTGGTAATGAAATCCCAAATTTTCAGTATTTTTGGCCTGCCCCGAAATGGTATTTCTTAAATTAGATTAAACTCTTACTTCTTTAATTGTCCTTAAATATTAATCCTTGTTATCTAAGGAACAAAAGCTTGCAAGAATAAAATGTCCGTGCTGGTTCCCTAGTGCTTGGGAAGTTATTTGCTGTTGGTATTCACTTTTTAAAGATTCAGCCAACTTTTTCCTGAGTCTTAAAATTCCTTAGAAATTACTGTTTCATGTGCGGGAAACAGGTTGCTGATGAAGAGTAAATTTTTCCACCAGGAATGCTTGCATCGCGTTATCAAATCGTCATGCATCCATATCGGTCCGGATGACAAGCGTTCATATAAGAATGTGATGAACAGGATCAAGAATGAAAATGCCGGAAGCACTCTGCAACTGATTCGAGTTAGATTTTTGATTCTGCAATACACAAGCCCTCTGAATTAGATTCTTGAATCGGTAAAACGTAGTAAAATCATGTGTAAAACAATCTCGGCCTAACAAATCTCTGCTTGAATGTCAAGAATTATTGCTCGGATAATTTTCGCAAAACTTCCAATACTACTGAGATGTAATATTGAGCCAAGCTCTCTTGTTTCAGACTTATTAAATTGACATTTGAAGCGTATAGGCAATTTCATCACTCATTCATTAGTGATGCAGCCGGCAGCCGTGCCACTTTCTTTCTTCACTATTTCACAGTTGCTTTGACCATTACTGCATCGCATGGTGGTCAGCCTTCTGGCCATCCTGATGTTCCTTTCGCCGTTCGATGGGATTACTGGCTTACTGGCTCTCCTAACAAAGGAAACACTATGGCAGAGATTTAGCTACCTGAAGATTCAGCGTTGTCTACTAGACGCTACTACCTCATCTTTAATAAAAACTGCTACTTCGAGGTACTACGCTGAATTACCTTGTTATCACAGATTGCTTAATAAGAAATTTTGATCGTCATCACTACATGTACAGCCACATAACCAAGGGGTCATCTAAATGCTCGCTTTTTTACCTACAGGTACCAATTACTAATATGCCGCCGGTTTTTGGCAACCTGGTCAAACCCAATTGGCGATATTTTGCTTCTTTTCAAACTATGCCATGCTTTCTATCTAAGAAATGCTTGAAATTTCGATCAGTTCTTTGTACACAGCTAGTTCTCCAACCATGCAACTGACAGTTTTTATCCCCAGTCGCTTTGACCAGTGCTGCACCATGCAGTGGTCAGTTCACTGGTCATCAGACGATACAGCACTGGTCAGCGACATTCAGAAATACTGGTTTTTTTTTCTTTTTTTTTCACAACTGCCTCAACAGATATAGAGAAAATAATGAAATTTTTCATAACAAGAACCGGTGAAAATCAGCACAAACTGTAGTAGTCGTTCGAAGTACAGCTTCCTGATATCATCCGTTGTTTCCAGTGCTTGCCGGACAGCCAGTGAGGTGAATAGGGCATTGAGTGCAATTAGAGCATCGATGTGATACGTGAAATTGTTCAACGGATGCAGTTGCCAATTGTACACGCTATTGTATGAGAAAAGAACGTTTTCTGAAAAACAGCTCAAGTATGTGTTTGATGGAAGTGAAGGAAAATTTAGGTATGGCCTTAAGCAAAAAAAAAGAACAGGATGGATAGCCTTCATCAGTTTACAACTAAAGGGAATTAGCTGGATTACTAAGGGCTTCCATGCCATGACCGTTGAACGCGGGTCAGAAAAATTGACCGATAGCCCGAAATTTGACAAAGCCATTAGCTCCAGAAGTTTCTTGTATAAAAAAGGTAAGACAGTCGTGTCCTTTTCACCATATTGTTTAGCATTACCAACTGGGTTTTATTGACCAGCAGCACTGACCAAGATTATCTCGAGCAAGTGTTCGCGGCATTCATCTAGTGCTTGTTTGCGGTAAAGTATGGCTAATTTGAGGTTCGGAGCTGGTTTTCTGCTGTTTGCATAGCAAAATCGCCGAGGAACGGGAGAAGCGCAAGAAGATCGGGTTAATTCTATTTTTGCCAAGTTTTGGGTTCATACTATTCTCTTCAATTTCCTTTCCATCCCCCCATGGTCCCGGGAAGCAAATAAAGCAGTAAGTGACGGAGCGAGTACACTCAGAATTTTCGGTAAAGCAAAATCTAATATTTTCAGGAAATGAGTAAAATGGAGAGATTCACAAACATTTAAGGAAAACTAACCAATATAAGGCATGATGTAGACGAAGCAGTTGGCGGTGATGATCAAAGAGACGGTTAGTACCTGTAAGCCTTGCACCGAATGGTACTCATGGCCACGTTTCGTACTCAGTGCTACGTTTCCATTACGGCGAACTGATACACATCGAGCTAATGCCTGTAATCTTACTTTAGCATCAAACTCAAATGTGAGGGTCATTACAAAATAAATGGCCAACGCACGGGCTGCCCGTGCGAAGATGCGTTTTTTGCAGAGCTCCCCGCAG